CCTTCTCACTTCTGAGCTCGCGTCCCCATGTGTGACACAGAAGTGTCTGAGGGTTATTCTGAGGAAGGCTGGCAAGGGCTTAGTTCAGAGCTGACACATGGAAGTGGGCAGCTGGGGACAGCCAGGACCCGAGTGTCCGAGGAGAAGAACAGCATTGTGGGCTCCGGCATCCGGCCCCCTAGGGAGGGGGGCAAGCCGGCTCTCAGAACCGCCTCCCTGGGAGAGCGGAGCCCCCTAACCAGAACGAAGCAGACGCAGCGTGGGGAGATCCGACGCTGCCACTGCAGGGCCCCAGGGCTGCATGTGCTCACGGGGCTGCCCCAGCCGCCCCTGGGTTCCACCCCAGCGAGGCTCCCCCAGTGCCACGGCTGGGAGAGGAGGCCCAGGGCACACAGCGCAGGCTCTCCTCCCGCAGGGCCTCCCAACAAGTGGCCTGTCGGGTCAGAAAATTACCAGCACGTGTCCAAGGCCCGGGAAGCATCACGAGGCCGGAAGGGGCCCTGTCAATGTCTGGGAGCGGGACAGCAGCCTGCTTCCTCCCTCGGTCTGGGGGAGAAAGGACTGTTCAGAGCACTCAGGAACCCTGAGGCCCACGGTCCCACGACATGCTGACTTCCTCCCTCGGTCTGGGGGAGAAAGGACTGTTCAAAGCACTCAGGAACCCTGAGGCCCACGGTCCCACATGCTGGAGGGCAGCTGGGCTGCAGGGGGCGACCACGTGACAAGGGACCGGGAGCGGCACAGCACCGTGCACCCGGACACAAGCCCTGCGGGTCCCCGAATTTATGTTCCAGTCACAGCTCCAGGGTGTGGGGCAGCTCATTTAACTGCCTGGGGTTTGGGCTCCCCCTCTGTGTATGAGGGGGACACTTCTTAACTCCGGGGTTGTTCAAAGGTGGATGTTAAGCGCGTCAAACACAAACCTCCGGGACTCGGGGGACCCGTAACAGGTGCGAGTGATTAGTCCCGCCAAGGTCTACGCTTGCTGGAGTTCCCACCCCGCCCTTGGGCGCCGCGGCCCTGGCAGGCCCCACGAGCAATCAGGATCCCTGGACGGCACCAGACGCGCCTGGAGAGAACCGTGAGGCGTCATCTGCACATTTTCTCAGAGGCCGGTCACAACCGCCCACTGCAGAGGCCCTTGTACCGAGTCCCTCATCATCGGCTGCTGATGGAGACGCATTTCGCCTGCGTGGGGACATTTATCTTGACACCTTGCAGTGTCTCGAATGACTGCACTTGGCCGACCATGAGTGTTGCCGCGAGGGAAACCCCGTGTGTCCCGGCCGGGGCCGGGGGTGGGGCATTCTTCTACCTTGGAAGGAAGTGACAACGAAAGTGTCGTCAATTATAAGCTCGGGAAGCGTACTTCGAACTAACAATGCAGAAATACCTCAAGCTCCGGAGTCTCCCGCCTCTCCCCACAGCCTCCCGCGACGGGGTTCAACTAAGTTCTACTGCCCCCGTCCCCTCCAAACCTTCCCTGAGACTCACAGATGGCACGACGGTCCGCACACGGAGGCCTCAGGCACGTGGCAAGCAGCCCGCCGGCCGCGGCCTCGGGGCTAGCCCTGGAAATGGCTTCCTAGAACTCCCAGCGGGTCCAAGTGGACCCCGTTAGGCTCAGCCGGTGACTCAGAAGCCAGCAGCTGCTCGTTCTAAGCAAACTAATACCCCGAAAACCCGTGGGCGGAGTAAACAGGTTCTTCTGCCACTCTTTTTTCTTAAGTTTCTTGCCCACTTAGACGTTATTAGCAACTGTTACCGGTTTGGTGAGGCTTGGGGCTCTCACACTGGTGGTCACGGAGTTCGAGTGAGGCTCACTGAGACTCTGCCAGAAATGGGTCGTGATCACTGTCCCCCTCTGCCCCCTGCTTTACAGCAGAAGACACAGCAGCCGCCAATCTGAGGCGTGGACAATGAAGGGCCGGCAGCTCTGTGCCTGAGCAGTGCCCGCACGGCCCGGATTCAGAGGGGCTGCCATCAGCGTGAAAAAGGGGTGCCTGTCGCAGCCCGGGAACTGGGCCTCAGTCTTCCAGAGGGAGGACAGCCCCAGCCCTTCCCTTTTGCAGGAGCAGCCTGGGGAGCAGGGAGAAATCAGACTCCTTCCCTGACAGAATCACGTAGCATCTCAAAGAGCCCAGAGAAAGCGAGGGATAAGCCCGCAGAGCCTCTCACCGGGGTACAGGGCCACAGGGACCAGGCAGGGGTTCCTCCCCTGGGACTGCCATGGGACACCGCGCTGCAGGGGTCAGCATCTCCGGCCTGCCTGGGAAAGGCCAGCAGCAGCTCCGCGTTATTGGAACAGCCTGAAAACTCCCAGATCTTCTCATGACCTTAGAATCTCTCCCTCTGGAACTGCTCCGCCCCTGGCCTTCAGCTCCGGCCCCAGGCCCGGCCCGTTGGGTAAATAACCTCAGGCAAGTGAACTACGCTTCTCACTCAGTCCCCTCATCTGTCATCATCTGTCATACGGATAAAACAACACCCACCAGGTAGAGCTGGTGTGACGACGCCTGAGCTAAGGGCACTGGGCAAGCGGATTGCGAAGGGGGCTCATGTCAGGTACTGCTGTGGCCTGGTGTGTTTTCCAGGGTGGGGGACCCACGCC